ATATATATATATATATATATATATATATATATATAATTGTTATTAATAATTAACTAATTAATTAATATGTATTAAAAAGAATAATTGACTAAGAATAAAAATGACACAAAATTTAGGGCAATTGAAATAGGAAATGACTATTAATAATTGGCTAAAAATGAAAAATATTTCCAAACTGACTCAATATATAGAAAGAATATTAATCTCGGTTATATATTTCATAAAATATAAAGTTACTGGAAATATGTAAAAAAAAAAATCTGTATATATATATATATATGTTACCGAAATATAGTCATGTAAAGATATATATTTAAAAATTAAAAATGGAGTAGAATCATTTAGTATCCACAATTTATAAGGAAAATTTTGTAATTAAAGATGGAAAATGTTTTGCAATACGAGATGAAAATATAACATGGCGTTTGGTTGGGGGGGGGGGGTGAGGGGAATTACGTGGGAAAGGAATTTCAATTTCATGGGAGATGAATTACTGAGAATAAAGTGGGAATTTAAATTCCAGTGTTTGGTTTACAGGAATAGAATTACTGGGAATTTCAATTCCAATGTTTGGTATACATGGGAATTGAAAGGGAATAAGTAGTATAAAGTCCAAAATGTCCATTGTTGTTGTGGTGTTAATTTTAGATTAAAAAAAGGGATGGGTAATTTTGTCTCATCACTAGCTTTTTTTTTCTTCCTAAAATCTCAGGAATTAAAATCTAGAGGGGGACATAGGATTTTAATTCCATGAAAATGGGGGAATTGCAATTCCTTCAAACCAAACTAAGGGATTTTATGGCATTTGAAATTAGGTGAGAATTAAGTGGGAATGTAATTTAAATTCTCTCCAACCAAACGGCCTGTAAGGTTTAGCCGAGATGGAAAGAATATTAATCGATATGAAAATTAATAATTTTGGACACTTGATGCGTACATCTACACATTGACTATTAATTTTGGGTAATTATTTGATCGAATTCAAGCAACGATAACATTAGAAAATACAATCAATCCAACTCAATTCATCAATTTCATTATATAATAATTTATATAATTATATATCGATCCAAATATTATTAAAATATTTTAACAAATTCATTCCGTGTATCGCACGGGGCAAATACTAGTGACAGCAAATAAGAAATCCCAGTTGACCCTATCAAATGCTTTACTTATTTTAGTGCGTAGTGCTAAGGTGGATTATACTGTGTGTGATTTCAATCGCAACAATGAAGATAATTATTAAAAAGAGTTTTTTGCACTTTTGGTCCCACGACTATAGTGGCATTGGCAGAATTGATCCACGACTTTTGAACCTTGCAATTTTAGTCCACGACTATTGATTTTTTTGCAAAAATGGTCCTTCCGGCCACTTTTCGTCAAAATTTCACCGGAAAAAAAAAATCTCCATTTTTAGCCGAGTTAAAATTGACATTTTACTTTTCCGATATCTTCGGATGATCCGGCAGACGTGCTGAGCGCCTCCAATGCTGCTGCCAGATAACCCAACTAGCCTGGGAAACGCCACGGCCGCTCCGCCGCTTACTGACAGCCTGCTTGCTCCAGGAACTCCGCCGCCTGGGGCAGTAGTATGTAGCCCAATAATATTGTATGTAGTCAAATATCAATTTTTTTCTTTTAATTTTTTGAGATAAGTAAAATGTCAATTTTAACCCGGCTAAAAATGAAGAATTCTTTTTCCCGGTGAAATTTTGACGGAAAAGTGGCCGGAAGGACCATTTTTGCAAAAAAAATCAATAGTCGTGGACTAAAATTACAAGATCCAAAAGTCGTGGATCAATTCTGCCAATACCACTATAGTCGTGGGACCAAAAGTGCAAAAAACTCTTATTAAAAATTACGGAGTATAAAATACTAGCTGGCACTTGATTTTTAATATCCTAAAAGAAGATATGAATTTATTTTTGTATTAAATTTATGGATCAAAAAGTGGACTTATTTCCAAAATAGGAATTGTTTTCTTTTCCCATTAATTCCCTCAATGTAATCAAATTTCCCAGCCATAAGGAATGATCATGGAGCAAATGTGAGAAAATTTAGGGTGTGTTTGGTTTGCACATGGGAATTGAAATCAGAATGGGTATCAAATACTTGGTAATGATAATGAATTTTGGTAAAAGTGTTTAACATGGTTGGAATGAGAATGGTTACTAATAGTAGAATTCTTATTTTATTTGGGTATGGATTTTTTTTTTTTTTTTTTTTTAAGATCAGAAGGAAGGGGAACACCCAAACAAAGTAAAGTTTACACTACCTCTTGACGCCAGACAGGGACCCCAAATTTGTCAAACTCCAAAATCTGAAGAAGCTCATCTGGAGGGGAAGCTAGCAGAGATAACCGATTACGTCCAGAATGCGATTTGGCCAGCCAGTCCGCAGCCTGATTGACATATCTTGGGATAAAAGTGATTTGCCATACCGTGAAACTGCTAAGCTCGTTCTTGCATGCATTCAAAATGTTATCCATCATGTTTCCTAAGGTGGTGCCCTGACAGATTGCATCTACTAGTATTTTTGAATAACTTTCAAAGCAAATATGGCTCTTAGACAAAGATTTGGCCAGCTGGATGCCCTTCCACAAAGCCCAAGCTTCTGCTATATCTGCAGTGCAATTGCCTATGTAAAAACTGAAGCCTTTTAGCCAATCACCGTGGGCATTACGAGCAAGGCCTCCGCAGCAAGCTTTGTTTGTGTTAGGGTCATAGCTCCCGTCAATGTTTACCTTAATCCACCCCTCCGGAGGCTTGGACCACCTTATTAGTTTCCAACACCTCTGCCCGTTGACAGCTCCGGGATTCTTAGAGCTCTCAAAGGCTCTGTTGATCTCAGCTAGCTGCGAATGAAGCCAGAAAAGTTTCTGCCCATCCCTAGAAATCTTTCCATTGAAGACTCTATCATTGCGCCATTTCCAAAGCCACCATAGTGTTAAGGCAAATAGTACCCTATCGTTGTAATGCCGATGATTGGCCGATCCTCTTATGCCTTTATCCAGCCATTCTGTGAAGGTAGAGCTGCCAAGGTTTTGGACCATATTCGGCAAAGCGAGTTTCCATATCCTTCTAGCTTCTGGACATGATCTTAGGATGTGCTCAGTTGTCTCAACTTCTGTATTGCACACTTCACACATATTGCAGTCGGTGAAGCCTCTCTTTGCTCTATTCTCGTTGGACATAATCCTATTGTGCCTTGCTAGCCAGAGAAAGGTATGTATTCGGCTGGGAACTTTGAGTTTCCAGATGTTCACCCAGGCCCTGTCGGCATTGTTGCTCGTGCTATTTGTGATTAGAGAGTAAGCCGATGCCACCGTGAATTTCTCGGTCTTCTCCTTTCCCCAGCCAAGCAAGTCGTTCTGCCCAGTGAGCAATTTGACAGCAGCTAGTTGGTCCTTCGAGGTTTGCAGCAGTAAGGAAATGGGAGATGACCAGTTCCATCCCAATTGGTCATCCCAATAGTCCGATATCTTCTTGTAAAGTTCTGGCAGGGGTAGATTTCCGGTAAATAAGTCATTGAGCGGGCAGTGGCCCAACCATAAATCGAGCCAAAACAGGGAATTTCTGCCATTCCTAACTAGTTTTCTTGTTCCTTTGACATGGGTAGGGATGGATTTTATTATCCCTCTCCAAGCGTTTGATGAAGAAGATCTAGGGGCCCATGTCGTAGGATCAGCACAAGTAGCAGAGTATTTAGCCTTCATAATATTTATCCATAGACAATCATCTCCCAGTTGTAGTCTCCATCCTAACTTGCTGAGAAGAGCCAGGTTCATAGCTCCAAGGTCCCGAATACCCAATCCCCCTTGATCCTTGCTTCTGGTAACTGTATCCCAAGCCACTAAGCTGCATTTCCTATCCTTGCCTTTCCCACCCCATAGGAAGCTTCGTTCTCCAAGGCTTGAATTACGCCAGATGGGATGAGGGGTGGTCTGCATTGTGTAGAGGGGAATTGCTGAGAGTACTGACTGAACCAACGTACGTCTTCCTGCAAGAGAAAGTGTGTTTCTTCGCCATCCTGAAAGTTTGTTTTGGACACTCTCTACGAGCCCCTCAAATGTTTCCTTTTTTAATCTGCCATTGAGTGACGGGACCCCCAGATATTTTCCAAGATCATCCGAAGGAGGTATGTTCATAATACTGGAGATTGCCTGCTGTGTATGAAGGTTGGTATTCTTTGAGAACAAAATAGATGACTTCAAATAGATTACCTTCTGGTCGGATTCGTTGCAAAACTGTTCTAGACAAGATTTGATAACTCTGGCCTGCTGTTCCGAAGCCTCTCCGAATAGAATTAGATCATCTGCGAACATCATGTGTGAAGCTATTGGACCGTTTCTAGCTGTGCGTATTCCTTTCACATCCATGGTCGACACTTTCTGGCAGACTAGTTGGCTAAAACGCTCTATGCAGAGGACAAATAGAAGATGAGACATTGGGTCCCCTTGACGGATGCCTCTGGACGGCTTGAACCATTCGGAATGGTCCCCATTTAGAGATATGGCTAGTCGGGATGAAGTAACGCAGTTCATTATATTCCTCACCCAGCAGTCACTAAATCCAGCAGCAAAAAGTGTGTTTTGGATGTAGCTCCAACGAAGGCGGTCGTAGGCCTTCTCCAAATCGACCTTAACGATTATCCAGCCCCCAGTCCCTTTTTTGTTTCTCATTGAGTGCAGAATTTCTTGGAAAGCAATCACGTTATCCGAGATTAAACGGCCCGGAGTGAGGCTAGATTGGAAGGGTCCAACTAGCTTTTGCATGATGCCTTTTAGCCGAGTAGTCATGGCATAGACCAATGGGCCGCAGATGTTTCACTATTTCCAGGATTGGAATCTTGGGGATCAGGGTGATTAAAGTATCATTGCAACCATCCGGCAGTAGCCCGGTTTCAAAGAAATTGAGCGCAAACTTTGTGAGACTCTCTCCCACCACTGACCAAGATTGTTGATAGAAGTTTGCATGGTAACCATCCGGCCCAGGAGCCTAGAAAGCATCCATGTCAAATAGAGCTTGCTTGATTTCAAGTGGCGAGAATGGTCTGTTTACGAGATCCCAGTCTAGTTTTAGGAGCGGGGGAAAAGAGCCATTCGTGTTAGGTGTGGCCAGGGCATCGCTGTCCTCAGTAAATAGGTTGACAAAGTGGTTGAAAATGTGATCTCTAATCAAGTCGTCACCCTCCAACCATACCCCTTGTTCATCCTTGAGCATATTGATTTTGGAGACCGCCTTCTTTGCTATCGTAGCAACGTGGTAGAACCTAGTATTGTGATCCCCGGATGTGATCCAGTTCTCTCGGGATCGTTGGAACCACAATAGTTCTTCTTGAAGCAAAATCTCCTCTAGTTCCTTCCGTACTTTTTTGTTAAGCTTGATGAGATCAGGCCTGCCATTAATGGCCAGATTGCGCTGAACTCCTCCCAATCTAGCCAACACTTGTTTCTTCCGGTGATGAATGTTCACGAAGGTGTTCTTGTTCCACTCCTGAAATTTAGCTGCCAAGTTAACCTTGTTCTGATCTAACTCATGCTCCTTGGACCAGTTTTTCTCCACAAATTGTAGGAAATTAGGGTGAGTCGCCCACATGGCATTGTATCTGAATTTCTTAGGTTGAGATCTAAGCTTCGATAGCCTGGTACGGATATGCAGCGGGGCGTGATCCGAACTGACTATGGGTAGATGAACGACTTCAGCATCCGGGAACTGTAGTCTCCAGTCCACGCTGCAAATGGCACGATCCAATCGAGCAGCTTTGAAAGATGGCGAGCTAAGGCCTCTAAACCAAGTGAATTTGGCTCCCGAGTATCCAAGATCAATTAGTCCCTCCTTGGCCAGCCAATCTTTGAAACTCGTGCACCGAGAACTGGAAAAATTAGATCCACTTGAAACTTCATCTTTACATGTAACCGCATTGAAATCACCAGCCACAAGCCATGCTCCCTGCAAATTCAGTTCGTCCTGTGAGAGGCAAGAAAATAACTCTTTTCTAAGGGAGGAGTCAGGGCTACCATAAACCACTGACAGCTTCCAATTATTAGCACTGGGGTCGGAGACCTCCAAGACCATAAACTGGGGGTGGGTATGTAGGATTTTAACCGATATGGTGTTTTTCCATAATACCCATATGCCTCCAGAAAAACCAAAGCATTCAATTCTGTACCATTCATCAAAATCTAAGTCAAAACAAATTTCATTAGCATGGCTCCCGGAGACCCTGGGTTCCAGGAGACAGGCGATGACAAGTTTGTGCTCACGGAGGTACTGTTTAAGGGTGCGGCGAAACGGTTGTGACGCTGCACCTTGGCAGTTCCACACGAGAACACTCATCATAAGTCAAGAGAAGAGGAAGAGGCTCCAATGAGCCTGTTCTGCGTCATAGCCATATTTTGTTGACTGTTAGTACCACCATCCTCAATCGTTGTTTCTTTAGGAGTATCGCAGTCAAAGAAGGTCACTCCTTCATCGACCGGGGTGTTCAACACTGGAGATCCAAGGAATGTGGGTGACTGAATTCCAGGATTCTTAGGCCGATGATGCATAGTGGTTGATGTTACCGTCCTCCCTTTGGATGAACCTCTCACCACTATATGATCCTCCTCTGCAGCTGCCTTTCGTGGGGTAGCAGATTTGCCCCCTTTTGCTCTTGTGTTCCTAACATGGCGAGTTTGGATATGCAGAGGACGTTTTAAGGGTGACATGGGCACCTTGGTATTTTCTTGTGATTTGTAACCAGGGACCGGAGTGGTCGGGGATTCTCCGTGTAACCTCACGCTAGTCTTGGGCACTGTGGCTTAATCCTCATTCTGGTAATTGTCCTCAAGGTCCTGCAGAGGGGGAAAACGTGAATTAAACAGTGGATTATTGAAAATGGTTTGATCATTTTCGGCTGGGGGAGTTGGTGGGTTTTGGTTGTCCATTCGAACAGTCTTTGGTTCGAACTTCTTGGGTGGTCTTCGATCTTTGTGTTTCACAATCATCCAGGGCCCAAATTTCTCTTGAACATGAGCTCTAGGAATTGGAGGTTTTTTCGCCAGATCATTCTCATGAAGGGGTCCCAAGTGTTGGTCCTTTTCATTGTCGAGGTCCATCCGCGAATTGTCCTCTGGTTGAGCTTTGCCTCCTTCTTGTCCGCAGCATTTTGCTCTGTGCCCTCGTACTGCAACGGATAACATTCTTCTTCTGCTTCAAATTTGGCCAAAAGTGGCTTGGTAATGTCAATCTCCACACAGATCCTTGCGAACTTTCCCCTTGATAGCACGGCCGATATTGTTCCCTATGCGCATCAGAATTATCTCATCAAAATATTCAATTGGAATAGTAGAGAATCTTATCCATACCAAGATCTTTTCGACCGAATCAGTGTGTGGATTAAACTTCGGTCTCCATTCTTGAACAAGGAGGTAGTGGTCCAAAATCATCCAAGGTCCTCCAAACCTTACAGCATCGTAGTCTCTCTGGGAGTCTAATCTTGCTAAGTAGTAATCTTGGTCGAGGTCTATGAGCTCCATATGCGCATCTGGTTTCCACAGAGTCTGGAGTAGTCGAGAAAGATAGTCATAGCCTACCGTCCTCCCTAGTAACTTGATAATAAGTGTGCTGGAGTCGTCGAGAAAGATAGCCATAGCCTACCGTCCTCCCTAGTAACTTGATAATCAGTGTGCGACGCCCTTGGCGTCTGATTCTTTCTTTATCCTCCTTTGTGATCTTGATTCTAGGGCAGTCTGGGTTTGCGTGTTCGGCCGGTTCTTCGTCTTCCGAAGCAACTTCCTCAGGCAGGTCAAGATTCTTGAAGTGCGGATTGTTGTTCAGGCTAACCTTGTAGTTGGCGGTGGTCGTGTTCGCAGCTGATGTCGTGGGTTGGGGTGTTTCTGGCACAACTTCCAGTAGAGAGTTCTGAGCCATAGGTTGATCCGGGAGATCATCGCGATTCAGAGCGTGGTTTCGTTCAAGGGTTTCTTGAATGTCCGGCGACCTATCGTTGGCGTCCGGTGTCTCTGGGAGCGTATCGGTGGTCTCCATTAGTTCTCTTATCAAATATTAGTAAAATGACAGTTTTGATTCAAACATGTTTTGGTATGGATTTTCTTTCTTTGAATATATTAGTAAAATGACAGTTTTGATTCAAACATGTTTTGGTATGGATTTCTCTTATCAAATATTAGTAAAATGACAGTTTTGATTCAAACATGTTTTGGTATGGATTTTCTTTCTTTGAATATATTAGTAAAATGACAGTTTTGATTCAAACATGTTTTGGTATGGATTTTCTTTCTTTGAATGCTACTAGCTCTATTACAATATAATATCTGTTCACGCCTCCACTGAGGCTCGAACTCACAATCTTCCAAATGAAAGTCCAACCCGAGTACTGTTAGACCATATAGTCTTGGTGGGTATGAATTTTTTCAATTGATGGGATATTTGAAACCCATAGTAGTATTGCAAAAACCTATCAACCAAACAAATAACAATCACTTTGATACCCATTCCTATGGACAAAACCCATCAACCAAACACACGCTTAGAGTGAATTTGCATCTTTTTTTTTTTTTTTTTTTTTTTGGAAAGTGAATTTGCATCTAACTTGGCAAAGGCGAATTTAAAATTTTCCATACACAAGGGGTGAGAGATTCGATCCATTCCAATTTGTCAATAACGGATTGGATAAAGATTTAATGAAAAATCGTTAGTTTTTTTTTTAAAAAAAATAAAATTATAATATAGGAATTCATGCATGCAAATATCAAATTAAAATAATAGAAAATCTTCAAACATCCCATTAGAAAAGATCCTGATTTCTAATTGATGGATTTAATTCCCCGGGGGTATCCCGAATTATTAAACCCGGATATATATGTGTACGAAATAAGTAATGAGACACAAGATATAATAAGGTCGCAGGGACCGTAGGCCGCTGAGGACCGTATATTTGTATTGATTGCCGCTACTAATCTATTACAAGAATTAATAGGACAATAATGCTAGAAAGGTAGCAATTTAGGAATCAGTTGTGTGTAATAATCAGGTAAGAAATCCGCCTTAGTTAGGACAAGAGGGAGCCATTTTATACTAGCTCCACCCCCAACCATACCCCTAGAATCGGGGGTGGTTGGATCACCCCTCTTGACCGGGTCCACCTTGGACCGGGTCCAAGGTGGACCGACTCGGCACGGCCGAGCTGCTGAGCTCGGCCTAGCCGAGTCCTTTGACTCGGCATGGCCGAGCAGCCCAGCAGCTCGGCGTGGCCGAGCTGTTGGGCTCGGCCTGGCCGAGTCCACCACGGACTGGCCCTCCAGCGGCCGAGTCCGTGGTGGTGGGCTCGGGTGTGCCGAGCCCACCCGTGGCCGACTCGGCCCAAGGCCGAGATGCCTTGGGCCGACTCGGCCACGGCCCACTTGGCTGGGCCGGGGCACTCCTCGGACCCCGTTCTCCGGGTCGGTTCGCTCCGGGTCCAATATATCCATCACGAGTCCCCCACTCTCTTCGTTGTGATAAGTCGACAACGATAGAGAGTAGACAGCTTGCGAGCCGGCTCCTGTGCACTTGTCCCGAGTTGAAAATTAGCCGACCTCCTGTGACCGAGCTCACCATGACCGAGGCACCTTGGGTCGAGCACGGGGCCCAACCCTTGTGCCCCAGGTCTACTCCATACTTCATTGTTCCGCTTTCCCGGGTCGGTTTGCTCCAACCATAATATATCCATCATGAGCGAGACTTCTTCTCTTCCGCATGAATACTAACAAGTCTTGGACTCCCTGGCATCGTGTATGAGACTTTGATTTCTGAGTTCACTTTTGGGCGAGCTCATGAGGTAGTCGTCCTCCTCTCGGGTGAGCTCATGAGGTAGCCCCTCTTGGGTCGAGGTGCCTTGTGTCGAGGCGTCTTGGACCGAGGTTCGTTGATGAAGGAGAGTAAACACGAGTCGCACTCCATGGGTCCGAGCCCCACACGGCCGACCCCAACGCGGCCGACCCCAACGTGGCCGACCCCAACGTGGTCGACGCCAACGTGGCCGACCCCAACATGGCCGACCCCACAACATGGCCGACCCCAACGTGGCCGACCCCTCAACGTGGCCGACCCCAACGTGGCCGACCCCTCAACGTAGCCGACCCCAACGTGGCCGACCCCTCAACATGGCCGACCCCAACGTGGCCGACCCCAACATGGCCGACCCCACAACATGGCCGACCCCAACGTGGCCGACCCCAACATGGCCGACCCCACAACATGGCCGACCCCAACGTGGCCGACCCCAACCTCAAGGATTAGACTTGATAGCGGCCTGATTAGCGTCATCCCTTCTTTATCATATGGGTTCCGTCTTCCGCTCCACCACTTTGTACTTTTCCTAACATGCCTCTCTCCCCCTGGAGGTAGGCACATTTTATGTCTCCCCTCTGGTAGGTGGGCACATTGTATTGACTTGGCGTTTTGAATGGACAATCAGTTCTCCCTTATTGAATTTTTTTTTTTTAGCACGATGCCTTCTGTTAACCGCTTGAGCCTAGTCCTCCTGGACTAAGCCACCGGGCTCCTCCGTCGGGGTTTGTACGCGAGGTCGGACCTCGTGCCCCCTTAGGGTACGTTACCCGCTTGAGCCTAGTCCTCCTGGACTAAGCCACCGGGCTCCTCCGTCGGGGTTGGTACGCGAGGTCGGACCTCGTGCCCCCTTAGGGTACGTTAGCCGCTTGAGCCTAGTCCTTCTGGACTAAGCCACCGGGCTCTTCCGTCGGGGTTGGTACGCGAGGTCGGACCTCGTGCCCCCTTAGGGTGCGCCATCCGCATGAGCCTAGTCCTACCGGACTAAGCCACCGGGCTCTTCCGTCGGGGTTGGTACGCGAGGTCGGGCCTCGTGCCCCCTTAGGGTATGTTACCCGCATGAGCCTAGTCCTCCTGGACTAAGCCATCGGGCTCCTCCGTCGGGGTTGGTACGCGAGGTCGGACCTCGTGCCCCCTTAGGGTATGCTTGGGGAGGTCAGGTGAGTACTCGATTCTTACAACATCGTCGGGGGACTTGAAACATCGTTGAAGGGGACACTCCACCTCTTAAAACATTGTAGGATGAGACGTCCCACCTCTTGGAACATTATTGGAGAGGATGGACCACCTCTTGCAACATCTTTGGAGGGGACGGACTCCCCGGTGGACCGGGCAGGTCCCTTTGTGGACCTCCTCTATGACTGACACCTAATGTAGCAAGGTGTCATTAGGAGGACTTCTTGTAGTGTATATCACGGGGGACTATGTAAGTTCTCCCCACCGGCTTGGCTTCGTCCTTGTCAAGGGGCAAGCAACCCATAACATGTTCTTCCGTTAGGTAGTGA